TTTGCCAAGAAGCTGCTATCTGTTTATACGGAACTATGGCCTCTTAGCAGATCCTTTTGAGGTATGTTTTATTTTGTTATGTCAATTTTGTGAGGCGATCAAGCCATTTCTACCACCAGAGGGCACCGTTACATGGACAGAATGGGAAGGAACTCCATCAGGATCCTTTCTTTCTCTTTTACTGTGATTAGTACATGTTGGTTAAGATTAGTTTCTTCGGCTTGAAAATGACCCTCCGATTTCAGACACAAAACACATATCGAGAACCATAAAGGCCATGTGCCATTCATCGAATATGCCGTCTCTGACTTGCGTACCTCTGCAAGACTGAAATGTGTGGCCGTTCTCCATCACTGTCAGGGGTCACAAGACATGACAGTCAAACATTTCCTGTGTCATTGAGGGTTTTTATAGTCTGAACTTTTACGCTGTAATTACACAAAGGCTCAAGCTAGCGCTACACACATAAAGAAGCACAAAACACAGCATTGTAGCTTAGTCAACAGACCAACATCTGTTTAATGTGCCAGTTATAGATGTTTTCCACACTCTGTATGATATTTAAAGGCTACTTTAGAGTATGTAACATTAGCTGCTTATGTGCGGTGGTTCTCGCAGCGCTCTTTAGTGCACTAAATCAGCTTTCTGCACACAAAGGGAGCTGGAGTCTTTCTAAACATAAAAAAACCCCACAGACATAAAAGCCCAAGTGTTGCGTGCTGGACAAACCCAGTTACATTCAATACTCCATTTACATTCAAGCCTTTTGCAAAAACTCACCTCAATTTATCTATTTATTTAACTGCTTTTTTAATTTTTGAAGGCTAGCATCAGGTCCTGTGTGTTTGCCCTTGTGTTAGAGGGCTGCATTGTGGCTTTCCCTGAGGCTCAGCTGCAGGATTGTGGTTTTTAATGAAAAAGTGACGCTATAGAGCACAGGTACAGTCCAGGCTTGTATTTCAGTTGCTTTTGTTATGTTTTACAATGAGGCAGTGCGGTTGGATACTTACAGACGCTGTAAATGACCCTCTGGAGCCTGCTCATCATGCCGGCCGCTGGATTTAAGCATACAGGAGCTGCTTTAGGATCGATACTGGGCAGAATACCTCGGGTACATTTATACATTTGCCTGTAGTTCTGTCTATTAAATAAAAAATAAAAATAAAAACAGGAAAATGCGGTTTGTAGTCGGTCAACTTTAACTTCTGGATCATCGCAATTTAAAAACAAAACAAGCTGGCCTACAAAATGACGTCATGACCGAACTCTTTTTATTAATAATTGAATAAATCATTTAATTTAATGACAACATTTTGAAAAAATAAATAAATAAATACATGCAACAATAATTGATACAGAAACGTCGCGAGTAATGTCTTGCAGTCAACTAACGTTCTGTGTGAGGCTTTTATGTGCATCGAATGGACGTTCAGCTTCCGGGTAAATGTGAAAACACTTCCGCTAAACTTCCTCTGCTTTACTTTCACCAAACCGATTGTTGCAGCAGCTGTGCGGGTGGTTGTTCTCAGACGATCTTGGAGGTGAAGATGCTGGATGTGGAGGTCCTGGGCTGGTGTGGTTACACGTGGTCTGCGGTTGTGAGGCCGCA